TCCACAGGTCCACGGTGGCGCCGTACTTCTTCTGGTGGTCCTTCCTCAACACGGCGCGCTCGTACATGTCGGGATGCTGCCGGAGACGAGGCCCGCGCGTCACCCCTCGCTCCTCGCCGACTCCGCAAACCGGCGCCTCGTCGTTCGGGACCGCGCCGTTCGTCCGCTTGGGCCCCGAGTGACTCGGGAGCGGCGATGCGTTCGTCCCTCGCTCCCCACTTCCCGAGCACGACAAAGGGATTTCTGCAAAGCGGCCCGCGTCGCGGACCGCAAGGTTGAAGCAGACGCTCCTCGAATCGCGAGGCGGGGCTTCTTTTCTGTCGCCGCGCGTACTGTATATTCCCACCGACACCAGCTTTCCCGCAACGATCGGTTTCCGGCCGGGCCCGTACGCCGGCGGCAAAATGGCGAGAGAAACGTTCACCGCCGTCGGCGCTCATCTGTCTACTTGCGGTCACAACCGCTGGGCGAGTCGAATCCGAGTGGCCCCTGGCGATAGCGCGCCCGCTAAAAGCCTGTCCGGATAAGGCTGTCTTGCTGCGCGGCCAAGCGGCTTTTCGAGCAAGGAGAATCGGCTGGTTTGCCACTCAGCCGACATCAAGACCGAGTGGCGAGCGTCGCGATCAGCGAGAGGAAACGCGTGCGACACTGGGGAAAATGTTGCCCGCGATATCCCATCAGCGCGGAACCAGCGGCGGTGTGTTCCGACGTCTGCCTCCTCCACTGGACCCCAACGAGAAAACAGTCGCAGGTACGGGGTGACCGTTATGGTGGTGTCGGGATCGGGCGGCCGTCACGCTCATCGAGTCTCGTAAAAATCGCCGCCGGTATCAAGGAGATTGATTTTTTTTTTCCCATCTCCGGTTGAGATGCACGGACGGGTGTTTGCCCCCCTTTGTCCTCTGCTATCTCACCGACACGAGCGCTCGCCCTCCAACGCGGCGGTCTTTGCAGGCGACGAATGGACGACTCTCTCACCTTGCCGCGGGGAGATTTGGATGAGGTGGACTTTTCGGGCCGGCTGCTCAAGGAATCCGAGACTCCCTCATCGCTTCGGAGAGCTATTTACATCGTGCGGCGGAACGCTACGGGGGGTCCAAAGGACTTGGCGCAAATCCTGGCTGACCGGGAATCGGACACGGAGGACTACTCGGTGCGAGTCGGGGGCTGAAAAGAGGACTGAACCGGCCCCAAACCGCTGACCAAGGCGCGTTCCCCACTCACCAGGTACTCCTCGGTCCCGTAGAGTGACACAAACTGCTCGTCGTCCTCCAGTTCTCGGGCGGCTCCGAAGTCGGTCAGCTTGTAGACGGAGCGTCCGTCCTCGCCGATGACCCGCATGATGTTGCCCGGCTTGATGTCGCGGTGCACGATGCCGTACTCCCTCAGGTGGTTCATTCCCGCCACTGGAGGCCACCAGAGCGGCGTGAGCGAGCCGGCGAGCGAGCCGGCGAGCGGGCGGGCCGCAGCCGCGGCACTCACCGACGTCGTGCAGGACGATGAGGAACTCGTCCTCGGGGAGTCCGTAGGCGTTGGACGACTCCTCCAAGACGGTGTAGAGACTCCCGCACGGGCAGTACTCCATCACCAGGACTTTGTGACGCGTGTTGGACTGGGCACAGCAAACGACATAAATTGCGCTCGGGCTTGGGCGAAGCTCGCCGAGGAGCTGACGCTTTGAATGGGGTGCGCCGGAGGGGGGGAGGCGTGGCGGACACGCGCACCCCCGCCCGCCTGTGAAAAGACGGCGACGCTGTTCTCAGGGGCGTACAAACCTCCTCCTCGACGGCGAAGAGCTTGACAATGTTCTTGTGGTTGAGCTTGTTGAGCACCTCAAACTCTCGCATCTGCACGTCCAGCGGCCTCAGGAAGCTCAGGTTGTTGAACACTTTGACCGCGTACAGGTCGCCCGTTTTCTGCAACGAAAAGGGCCTTGGCAAAGCGGCACCGGGAACCCGCCGACCAGACCCGACCCCCCCGGCGGCGGACCCCCGGCTCACCTTGTGTCTGCCACGGTACACGTTGGCCGTGGCGCCCTGACCCAGAAGGTCGGAGATCAGCCACAGGTAGTTGGTGGTGCTCTGCATGATCACGACCTAACTGCGCAGACACACGGGCCTCGTTACAGCGGTGCCTCGGCGGAGGAGCGACGCCACTTCAGACTTTGTCGACAAACGTGCCGGCAGCTGGGTGGGTTTTCTTTTTTCGTCCTCTCGCACACACTCACACGGGCGCGCGTAACGTCGCAGCGGGAAATTCCCACCGTCGAGCAATCGCTTTTCCGCGTTTTCGCCGCGACCCGGAAAAAGGATTCGAGTCGTCGTTTGTTCGTCGTCACCGTCTCGAAGCGGCCGAGTGACGCTCGAACGCGAAGACGCGGGCCAAAGAATGATTTGGAGGCGAGCGGAGCGAAGTTCAAGCGGCGTATCCGGCCTCTCTCCCGACGGCCAACTTGGGGGCCCGACGACGAACGAGCGCGCGGCGTCAAAGCGGGGACGCGCTAACGTGCTCACGAGCCAGCTGCTTGATGAAGGCGCCCGGGAGAAAAAAAGCGGCGGTGAAAACAAAACGAAGAAAAGAGAGCTTTAAAGCGTATTCGGATTTCGTTCGGCTCTTACCTTCGTCGCTGCGGCAGAGTCCTCTTCCGTTTCGGGCCTGGTCACGTGTGACGCACGAGCCAATCACGGCGCGGCGCAGCGACGTCATCTTCCGTCAACAAAGTGACCGGCAGCACTTTCGAGCCGTCTCTCCTTTTCTTCCCGGTCGGTGTTTTCTTGGCGCCGCCTTGGTTGCCTCGAATCCAATAGTCAATATTGCTGCGTGAACAATCTCGTTTTCCTCACGGATGAAGACTCGATCACTCGAACGGAATGATGGGGCGGTGGCACCGCGCTTCTTGCTTAAGTTTCCTGTTCATTTGAACGTCTGCTCCAACTAAAGCCGGCCGGGACACATCATAGCTGTGATCTCTCCATTTTTTTTTTTTTTTTTTGTGTACGTTTCCACATGACTGAAAATCACTGTGACCGGGCTTTCAGCATGTCAAGCGGGACCACGTAAAAGTCAAGCAGCTGCGTTAGTGTTGTGTTGATGCGATACATCTTCAGCAATTAGAAGCGCGACAATACGCAAGGGGAAGAAATAAAACAAGGGCGGTCGAATCCAACACTTGTTCAAATCCAATTGAACAGTCACGACAGCACCGAGTGCAAATCATGAAATGAAAAAAAAATAAAACCCCAAACAGACACCGTTGACCACAAGAGTGTGTGTTGATTTTGAGGACGGAGGAATGACCGACACGAACACAGAAATAAGTAAAATGTCACTCACTTTATGTTGAGCAAAAGGAAGGTTAAGGACAAGAGCAGCTTATGGTGGTGGTTGGACGGGCCAAAGTGGAGGATGAACAACCAAACGCCGGTCGGCCCCGTAAGATTAGAAAAGACGACGAGCCGGAGACAAAAGTGCTTGAAGCAAAGGATGAACAAAATGAAAAACACAAACGCACATTTGGACTTGACCGCACCTTCGCGGCTTCCCAAAGTGTGCCACGGCGTGGCGGAAGAACGAGAGCTTCCGGTTTCACGCCCCACCGTGCGACGACGGCGAGGAACTTAAGGGAGGGGGAGGGTCACGTTTTGTTGTTGTTTTTTGTAGAAAAATAGGAATGACAGCTTGACGATGCTGCTGCTGCTGCTTCATAATGTCGTCCACACCAGTGGTCCCCAACCACCAGGCCGCACAGAGGAAAGACTAAAACAACGTACAGTACTTCTGGCTTACGTACGATCCGAGGCCGAAATCTATTTTCTTTTTAAAAGTGAGCGGATTCTCTCCGTTACATTCGTCCATGACTGACTCTTAAGCCATGTCGAGATGCTGTGTCAGCGACGCAAATTTGAAACCCTCCAGCTCGCAAAATGGGTCTAAAAAAAACACAAGCGCCGATGCCCAAGACCAAAGAGAGCAAGGTCCGTTTCGGGAGACCAACTGGAAATAGGATTTTTCGCAACAGGGAACTCCTTCCCGCGCAGCAAGTCTGCTGTCCGATGAGTCAATGGAGCCTTCCAAAGTGCCTTGAGAGTGTCAAACACTTGGAGCAAAGCTCGCATTGCTGCGGGTTCAAAATACAAACCCAAAAAATTGGTCAATCGATCCTTTGTGCAAGGACTTGTCATGGTGTTGGCACTCTTAAAGGTAGGCGTGTGGTCGGGGGGGGGGATGCGTTAATCTGTCGGTCCACGGAGGGTCTGGACTTGTATAAAGCGGTCTGGGGCAAGAAACAGGTTGGAGACCACTGGTCCATGGCGGATAGCTTCTCAATGCACCACTGCGCGCTACAAATCCACTTCCTAGCCCACTGCTCAGGCACAAGTCGGCTGCTTCTAGGGGGACACGTTTTGGTTTGGGTCACGTGGGGGCGGTGTGTGTGCTGGGGAGGGGCGGGGGACCCGAGCGGGTGAGGCTGGAATGGCGGATGCTCCGTATTTGGCGTAGTGGCTGACCTTTAAGGCAACTTCTATATGTGTGATTCGAATAAAAGCTTTTCTTAAAAAAAAAAAAAAAAACAATAATAATAATAAATGTACAAATGTCTGAATACAAACCTCTATGGCATCATCATCATCATCAGTAAACACTGTATAGAAAATATATAAATATGTTTTTCTCTTTTACAATGTACAAATGTTCCGCAGCAGCCGGCCTGGCGTTCCCATTTTTAACCTCATTTTATGCACAATCGCTATTTACACTGAGGGGGCGGGGGAGG